TATATATATATATATATATATTATATTCCCTATACCAGTTACGGGCTGCTCTGTGGGCTAGGCGAAGGCCCCTGGAACATCTCTGGCCATCCCAAATTCCTAGGCATTACCAGAGTAGAGATCTGGGTGACCTGATCCACCCTTTGCTCACTTTTGTAAATAGGACAGGGCCCAAATGGAAGATAGGCTTCTTGCAAACTCAGCCAAAGGTGGTCACAGAGAAGATGAATCCCACCCAGGTGTCTTCCCATATCTCCCTCAAACCATAGTAGTTGGTGAATAGGGAGGGCGTAGGCCCCTCCACTCACCGAAGCACCATCCTAGAGCAGGCTAGGCCGCAGTCCCAGTGGTAGAGTTGCTGGATGATGGGCACAGGCAGCTGCACAAAGTCCCCTGCATGGAACAGAGGAAGGTTTCAACTCTACTACCATTCCCTGTGGAGACACAGTCATCACCTCCTATCTAGATCCTGTGGGGGCTCAGAAGATTTCCCACAGTCCTTCATTCTTACAATACCAGTGATCTCCCCCAAACACCAGCCACAGCAGGTTAGCCCTACTCAAAATCCTCCAGTGAACTGGTTCCCATGTCTCTTAGGACAATTTCTCTGTGGCTACTGTCCTAGCATCTTCAGCTTCTTCCCCGTCATAAGGCTGTCCTTCAGGCAGAACCTGTACTTGTCATAATCCCTCTTACCTGGGGTCCTTTGCACACACGGTTCTTCTGCCTAGATGCTCCTGGCTTCTGAAGAGCTAACTTCTGCCCCTCAACCTTCCTTTTCTAAGGTACTGCCCCTTTAAGACCTGGCCCCCACCATGTATACTCACATCATCCCATGTCTCTCCCTCACAGCCCTTCTTTGGGGAGGATCTCTGAAGCAGGAGTAGGGCTGTTTTACTTCCTGCTTTCAGACCAGATGGCAAATGGGAGGTACCTAGCAGATACAAGTTTGTGGGACACCAGGAGGCTTACCTGATTCCAAAGGCACTAGGACAACCAACACATGAAAGTCACAGTAAGAAGGGGACTGTTGAATAAGCTGTATATGTGGACTGCTTCTGAAAGCTTCTCTAACACTGTCACTGACCAACCTCACAGTTTGTCCTTGCGATGTAGTGAGATGAAGCAAAAAAAAAAAAAAAAAAAAGACCTGACCTAGGCATTCTAGTCCTGGCTCTACCACTGGCTGGCTGTGAGCTAGACAATGGACTTCCTCTTACTAAACTGAGTTTGGCCAACCCTAAAGTGGGGACTTTGGTCTGATTTGGTCATTCAGTTGACAAATATTTTCCAAGAACCTGATTAAGTGCTTGGCATCTGTACTATAGTAAAGTGGTGAGTACATAGGCAAGGTCCCTGTCTTGGTAGACAGCAATAACAAATGGACCTGTGATTGCTACTGGCCACGCTTTACCTCGAAGTATGTGCAATAAGGCCAGTAAAGGCAGGATGGCATAGGTGAGGAAGACAACCTGCTTGTTGAGCCACCTGACTTCTCTGTGCCCGCTTATTCCTCTATGAAATGAATCATCGCAGATGTAGCCTACAGGGTACCATGAGCACTCAAGGCAACAGTATGCATAGTACCTTGCCTCTTAGCCAGGGACTGGTACACTGAACCCAGGCATGACTGAGGCTTTGTCCTCTTCCCCAGGTGCCTCAAAAAAGAACCAAGGCCTTCATTCAAGGCCCTGACATATTTGTCTCATACCACTGCCATGGATTCAGTCCTACCTGTCCTTTGTCCCAAATTCTACTCACCTTCTGTCTCTGCATACAGCAGACTAATGAATCTCATCCAACTTTCCATTGCTCTTAGAATAAAATTCTCACCTCTTAGCAGGACCCAATCTTGGCCCACTAGACTTTCCTCAACCCTGACCTGTACACTGTTTGACCTGTAAACTCAGCAGATTTCATTCTGCCCCAGGGCCTCTGTATGTCTGGCACCCTGTCTGGAAATCTCTTCCCCTGGTGCTGTTGTCATTTAAGTCCCAGCTCAGAATCTCCTAAGAGGTTTTTCCTGATTATACCTTTGAGGGGTAAGGGGCCCCATTAATGACATCCTGTTTCTTTGAGTGCTTAGTAACAACAAAAGAAGCTACTGTTGCCCCACTGGACTATAAGCTTCTTAAGGCAGATACTATGGTCTGAATGTGCCCCCCCCCCAAAAACACTGCGATGGTATCAAGAGGCGAGGGAGATGTAAGCTAGTTCCCTCTGACCCTTTTATAAGGCACTAATCCACAATGAGTGGGTCAGAGGGAACTAGCTTACATCTCCCTCAACCCTTCTCACCTGTTATGTGAGGACACAGCATTCGTCCCCTTTTCTTCCCTTCCTGCCATGTGAGGATACCAAGACAGAGCTATTTATGAGGAATGGGCCTATCAGACACTGAGCCTGCCAGCACCTTCATCATGGACTTCCCAGTCTCAAGAACTATGAGAAAATAAATTTCTATTGTTTATAAACTACTCAGTCTCAGGATTTTGTTATAACAACACAAATGGACTAAGATAGCAAGGAACCTGCTCTTCTTGTTTGCTGTTTTCCCAGTACCTGGTATCTGATGCTTAATAACAACTCTAAGTTACTACTTACTGGAAAAAAAAAAAACGGATTTATTAAGCATTTGCTGTGTACAAGGCTCTTGGCACAAAAATGTGACTAAAAAGACCCAAATCCTGATCTCCAGAGACTTATATTCTAAAACAGTTCCACACAACAGACTGGCTAGAGAGTTCTCTGCAGGATGTGGTGTTATAATGATAAATCAGTATCTTCCCTTATAGTCACCCCTGTGACTATAACAGCCTTTCTGTTTTTGTTTATTCAGGCTGTACTCTCCAGCCTCTGCTCTGGTATAACCTTTAGTCTAAAAGTCCAAATTTCTGTTTCCTGTACCTCCCAAGGTCTGTCAATGTGGAGTCCTTGAGGTGGCATCTACTTTCCCCCTGGACAGAGAATTCTGTGGTGTCAGGTAAGAATAGAGTTGAATTGCTTTCTCCCAGCCCTCAAACATGTTTGGTGAATACAAGTTTTCCAAAAAGGCCTTACTCTTTGAGATGCCCAAGCCTACTTGTTATTGCAGTGCCCCTGCCCCAGGTTTCCAGACTACAGTCCTTTGTTGAAGACTTCCTTCTTACTCTGTGGCCTGGGCTCTGGCATTGACTAGCTGGGCCATCTTGTGCCCAGCTATAAAATGTGGTACAGGATACTTGCTTTCTTGGACCCTGGGAGACTCAGTTGCTCTTCCTCTTCTTGCCCTGAGCCCTGGAACCCCTTGATCCTGGAGCCCCATGGAGCAAAACATCTCCAAATGGCCATCCTAGTCTTGGCACAGGCAGGTCAGCCCATATGAAGATGTTCCTGTAGGGGGTGATAAGGGTAAGGCAAGGCCTTGACATTTGTCCTGATAACAGCTTTAGCTTTCAGAGACCAAAGCAGCTGCCATATATTGATGCCTGGAGTCAAGAGACAACCCCATGGTGAGACCTAGAGTCTGCCTGGAAGGTCCTGGTCTGGCTTTAAGTTGTTGGCTGTCACTAAGAAATAAAGGCTGTCTACTGTCTTTGGTCACTTAACCCCTCTGGACCTCAGTCTGTGCCTTTACAAAAGGGCAAACAACAGTGGTCGCCTATTTTACCCAGTTGAGGAGTAATGAGGCACCACATATAAACAATTTAGCAAAATGCTTGCGGCAAGAAAGCTCCCTATGAATGTGAACCATTACCCCACTAAGACTCAGGAAAGAAAGTATATCAGTAAAGACCACAGAGTTAGATAATTGGAAGACTAGAGATGTAAACCCCAGTATAATGTTCAGATTCTATTCCATGCTGCAATCACAAGAAAAAGACCAGTCCCTGGATGTGATGTGCCAACGTTCCCTAACATCTTAGGCTCTGGGTCCCCCATACTCTTGACCTCTCTCATAAGTTGGCATCTCACCTGTTTACTAACATCAACCTTGTCTGTATCTTAAGCAAAGCAGGAATCATGGCTACCTCCTTACCCCCATTCTTGGACAATCAAAGGGATTGTAGCATCCTCAAGGCAGAATGAACCACAGTGAAAAAGACAGATCGTTGAGTCTGGGAGCCAGGGAAAAGGGCCTTCCCATTGCTGGACAGACACTCTCTCGGGCAGCTGCCTCCCCTTACTGGTCTCAGTTCAGACAGTTCCCCCGTGGAGGCGGGACCTCCTAAGGCAGCTCCAACAGGACCTTTTGCTTCTGACCGCTATCAGAAGTAACTGGGGTTCTAGCCCTGGGAGTATCAGTAAAACACAAATGAACAGAAGTGTGGGGGAGGGAGGAGAGGCGCGAGAGTCCACCTGGCCAGGTTTCGCTCCAAGCTCCACACAGCCTGGGCTGGGACGGCAGTCGGCCCAAGGTCGCGCGGCCAGACCCTGCGCTGCGCTAGGGCGGTGTCCCCCTGGGTCCCCAGGGTGAGGGCTTGGCCCTCACAGAGGCACTGACCGGGTTCGAGCTGCGACCCCGCCGCCTCCGCCTCCGTCCTCATGACCCCGGCGGCGCGGGGCGCCCATGGCCCCGGCCCGGCACGGGCTGTAGCTTCGGCTTCTGCTGGGCCAGGAGCGCGGCCGGTGTGTGTCGAGTTCCTCGGTCGCCGCCGTGGTAGGGAGAAGGGGAGGCGGCGGCCGGACCGCCCCAAACCCCGCCCCAGCCGTCTCAGGTCTGGAATCCCGAGGCCCCGCCCTTCCCTTCCCTTTCCCAGACTTGGGTTCCTAGAGGCCCCAGCCACCAGATTTAAGCCCGCCCCCGCCATTCGCAGTCCGGGTTTCTGATGGTCCCTCCCCCTTGTCCAATCCTTATGCTAACGATGACGCGTTTTCCGGAAGCTCCGCCCCTTTCCCTGAGCCCCTCCCGGAAGCCCCAGCGTACTGCAAACATTGGCTTTTCAGAGGCTCTTCCCCTTAAGAAACTCCGCCAGCCTTCAGGGCCTGTCCTTTGCAGCTTCAGGTGTTAGCTCTAGTCCCGCCTTACACTTGGCGGAGGCTCCAGGCATCCTTTCTCCGGCTCCCTTTAGGGATTTTCCCGGGGCGGCCCCCCTACACTTCATTTCTCTGTACAGTGACATACCTCGCCATGCTCAGCCGCCCTCACCAGGCGGTGACGTGATCCAAAGGTTAAATTGTGAGGCGAGGTCCTGGCCCTCAGCACCACTTCCTGTCGCTCCCGATCCGAGAGCCCAGGCCCCAGATACCCGCCTTGCTGTCCAGCTTGCCCTTTGTGTGAAGTGCTTGGAAGTGCGAGCATTCTTGTCCCCTTGCCGGCTCCAGGATAGGTGTTTCCCTCAACCCCTGGGCCCTGTCATCAACTCACTCTCTTCCGGCGCCGGAACTGTTGTACCATAGTCCACGTTTCTCAGCCGGCGGGGTGAAGAGGAAGCAGAGACTAGACCGCGCCCACCAATAAGGAAAGGAAAGGGCGGGTCATGCGCGCGGCATTTTGGGAACCCGTGGTATTCTGGGAACGTGGTTGCCGCCATTCGCTTTCCTCACGCCTTTGCAGTCGCGTCAATTTTAGCTACATCTTAGAGAAGGAGGAATAGGCCGCCGCCGGTGAGGAGAGACCGAGGGTGGGTGAGGGGAGGCCGAGGCACTTGTGAGGGCTGGACGTCTGAGAAAGATACGCTGCCCCGGAGCTCAGCCGGAATAAGGGAGGGAGGGAGGGAGGAGAGCGGGAAGCGGGGCCCGCTCCATCGTATCATTAGCACTTGGAATAGTTAATCACTGTTCCCCAAAGTAGGTGATTTTCACTTCCTATGCTTCTACAGGTCATTGTTTTCCGAAATATCCAGGAAATCTTGGAATCACTTCTGCCTAATCATTTTCTTCCCCCAAGTCCTGTTTGGGTCATCCTTTTCAAAGGTCTTTGCATTTCTGCCTCTTTCTTGCAGTGCTTTCCAGACTGCTGTAGAAGGTGTAACAAGTTTTTCTGCTTTTAAGCTGTATATTCGAGTCATTTTATAAGTGCTGTTGTTTTTTTCATTATGTATTTTCTTATGTATAATCCTGTAGCTCCCTGTTGTTATAATACAAATTCCTAAAGCTGAAACCCATGAATTCTCACCAAGGCATTCTCTTTACTCATTTACCTTCTCTCTCTCTTGAACACATGGTATGTGTTCCACATTTGAGTCATTGAGTCATTTCACTACAATGTTCGCCGCTTATTTCTTTTTAATTAGTGTAAATCAAACATTTATCCTGATTATTTTTCCTTCACAGTAACATTGCTTGCTTACAGCAGGTTATCACTCTGAACATTTTGATACTTTTTTTCCTTAGCCTTGGTAGTGCAATAAATGGAGAGTCGAAAGACCTGAGTTGAAAAGCACAACCTCCACTCTTAGATTTGTCTGAGTCCGTTGGTCTGTGTCTGCACTACCTAGTATTGTGGTCTCTGGCCACACATGGTTGTTGAGCACTTGCAATATGCCTAGGGTGACTGACTGAATTTAGTGTTTTATTTAAGTTTAATTAGGTGCATGTAGACAGTGACTACCATTCTAAACAACTCAGGTCTATAACATTCTCAAAATTGAGTCACTAGCAATTGTAGGTTGACAAATATATTATTCTGAAGGTGCATGCCAGTCCTCTCTCCCCCAGCATGCACACTGTATTGATTATTAGTTATTTTGATAAAGATTAAGGGACACATAGTAGGGTGGGAGAAGGGAGGGTTATTTTAATTCCTATTAGCTTTCCCTTTGTCCATCCTATGACTCCTCCTCATCTCACATCTTGCATGAGTTTGCTGTGGTTCTTCCAAGCCAAGAACTAAGCTCCCTTTCTTTTTGTTAATTTTTTTAGATGTTGATGAACCTTTATTTTATTCATTTATTTATATGTGGTGCTGAAATTGAACCCAGTACCTCACACATTCCAGACAAGTGCTCTACCACTGAGCCACAACCCCAGCCCGCTCCCTTTCTTTTATTGAAATTGTAGCTTTGGCATCTTGGAGTACCAGCCCTTCTTGGACTCTGAAAGATTAACTGAATGTTGTTTCTCTCATTGTAGAACTCTGTTCCAGCCAAGATGTCTATTGGTGTGCCGATTAAAGTTCTGCATGAGGCCGAGGGCCACATTGTGACATGTGAGACAAACACGGGTGAGGTATACCGAGGAAAGCTCATTGAAGCAGAAGACAATATGAACTGCCAGGTACCCTGCTTTGCATGAGGTTGTGAGGGAGGTGTGTTCCAGTATCTTAGAGGACAAAAGGGTGGTGGGTGATTAGAGGTTTTTATAAGGCTCTTCTCATTCATCAATTATTTACTGAATGCCTAATGTGTGCTAGGTACTCATAGGCTCTCAGACTATATGCATGAACAGGAAACTCATGGTTTGAGGCAGAAAAGCCATATATAAATTTGGAATTTTGTCCTTTGTTTTCCCTATCCTGTAATCATTTTCTCCCATATTTTAAAGGGCTATTTTAGAGAAATGTTGCTGTTCCCTTTGGTAAACTCCTTCAGAGTCAGGGCTGTTATTCATTTTCCCCACATGCTTTGCAGTTGGCAAAATCTTCAACTCATACAGTGTGTTCTTACTTTTTTTCTTGGAGGAAGAAATTCATTTGATTATTGTAACTACCTTGTGAGGAAGCAAGTTTGATGATAATCTTGACGTCCATGAAGTAGAGAGAATGAGATTAAAGAATTAAGCTACTAGACACCATTCTGCTGATACATGACTGAAAAGCTTCCTGATGTGGTACCCTTCTCATAGCACTACTTTGTCTTTTGCATAGTCACATGAATTGTTTTTTTAACATTAGTTGTTGATGGACCTTTACTCATTTAGTTATATACAATACAGAGAATCAACCCCAGTGCCTCATACATGCTAGGCAAGTGCTCTACCACTGAGCCACAACCCCAGACCATAGTCACGTGAATTTTTATAGCATTACTTGATATGATCTTTGTTCTTTAAATCTGTGGTTAAGAGTTTGAGCTTTAGAATCAAAAATGTGAATTTGAATTCTAACTAGCTAACCTTAGGCATATGAATTGTCTGTTTCCTTTTCTGTAAAATAGAGATGATGTTATTTGGGGGCTCTCATAGTTGAATGTATAAAAGTTTTACTCAGGAAATGTCAATAAAGGATAATAGAGCTAGGTATGGTGCCACACACCTATAATCCTTGCAACTTGGGAATCTGAGGCAAGGCAACTGCAAATTTGAGGCAATTTAGTGTTTCAAATAAAAAATAAGATCTAGAGATGTAGTTCTGTGGTAAAGCAACTGAGTTCAATTCCTAAGAACACAAAAACACAAAAGGATAATGGAACAAATAAGCATGAGTAGGCAAGAGAGTTTTCAGTCTAAGGTTTTAGTTTGACCAGGGAAAGGAAGGTTGAGCAGAAAGAGCCTCATACTGCAGCAAAGCTCTGAAGAAGTCTCAGCCAAACAGGGATTGCTTCTATGAGAAGTTTAGAATAGAACAGAAATGGTCTGACTCTAGTACTCCTGCCATGGTTAGTATTTGGCCGAGAGTTTGTGGAGAGAGAGACCACAGGGTGAGTGCTGTAATGAATCCCACAGGTGGCAGCTTGAGGCTGTCAGGTCCCTATACTATTCAAAGTCTGTTGTCTCTTGAGGGAGATATGAGCAGCACACTTCCAAGACTGCTACGAGGATAATACCTAAATCTCATGGTTGTTATATATATATCAGATGAGTTATGTATGTGCAGCAGGTAGCTCAGTGCCTCACATGTTGTTATTGTTCAACGTAAGGTACCTATTACTGTTCTCTAGGTTGGAGAGGTAAAGAGCCTTATCCTGGATTAAAATGAGGGTCAGGGGTTCAGACTGTCTATTGCTTTGCAGTGTTCATTCATTTATTTGTGATTTTTTTTTTTCTGTACCTTTGAGTATACATAATCTTCCTGCCAGGTTGACCACCTCAGGCATTTCCTTTGAATACAAGGAGATTGACATCAGTAACTGGGGTTAATCTCCTCAGTATTATTGTGAGAGTTCAGGCTCCTGTGCTATCTGTTCTTCAACAGGAGGGTCTGAAAATTTGCACCTCTCTTTGTGCTATAAAGGGCCTGGCCTCTGTTACTCTTTTACTTTCATAAGTGCAGTCTTTTAGCTTAAGAGATCCTCATCTGTTTCAAGGCACTTTAGTTTGGAGAGTAGAATGCAAGACTTAGGGTAGTGACTCTTAATGTGCTTATTGAAATACTTGTTTTTTTTTTAGTTAATTAATTTGGGCAATGTACTGAATCTTCAGGGCCTCAGACTTACAGACCATTGGTATTAGACCTGAAATCACATTGCAGTCTGCCATCTAGTATGACTTGGGATAAACTTTGGACCTCTTT